CCTCCACCCCAATACAGGAATACACTAAGTGAAAACCACTCCCGAGGCTCTAGGGAAGAGTGGTTAACTAATAATAGTGGTACAGGAATACACTAAGTGAAAAATGTTAGCCACTACTAGCCATTTGTGTTGGAAGTGTTTGCCAAATGAAGATGTAGTCTAAATGCCATACTTTTTTCGTTAATAAAAGGGTTACTTATGCCCATACTTTTTTCGTTAATAAAAGGGTTACTTATGCCACGTATTGTAGCATAGTACGTTTTGTAACTATAAAACACTCCTTACAGTTTGGGAATCTAAAATTTAGAAAAGAAGTGGCATTTGATATCGAATAAAATGACACCATAATCAGTTTCGAAGCACTTGCTACTCAGTACGTATAAGCATGCCAATTCTTCCACTGCTTCACAATTATAACAAACTCAAAATCTGACTAACCAGACCGCCGAATCTTTACATAATCTAGCGTAAAGGACGGTGATTGACCTGCGAACATAGCACATACACCGTGCTGCTTTGAAACGGTAGTTTAAAGGCATTTAAGGCAACAGTCGGTTTTTCAGTAGTTTCCGCCAAGCTGCTCACTTGCTGAAAATGAACTTAAAGGCAGTGGACAGGCAAAATGGACCCCTGTCAGATTTTGGTAGTTTCGGGTAGTGGACCCCCCAAGTACACCATAGTCCCAACCTCACCCTGCAAATCATGTGCTAAGTTCCGAAAAGAAGCTTCAAACTTCCACCAGTAACGCCCACTTAATGGAAGTGGGCGGGGCTGGTGGAGTTTTGAAGCGCTTTTTTCAAGACTTAGCGCATGAATTGGAATGTGGGGTTGGGGCTACGGTGTACTTGGGGAGTCCACTACCCGAAACTACCAAAATCTGACAGGGGTCCATTTTGCCTGTCCGCTGCCTTTAACCACAAATAACGTCCGCAAACTGTGCGGTGCTTCCGCTAAACTTTCTTTTGCCATACAGGCGATTGGGAGATCATTAGAAGGCTAATGAAGAAATTTAGTTTTTACGGCTGCGATGACTAGAAGATCCTATGACATAGCTTTAAATATATTTTATGCCATTCCCGCAAGAAAATTTAACGAAAGACCAGTCTGTGGATATCTGATGTAGTTCTTTCTAAACAAATATAACACAGAGGCAGAATGGGGAGAAGTACTGAAGAGCAGCCATGCATCACGAACGCCAGATACAGCATTACGTTTCAAAGCGGCATAATGCATGCTTACATGCAGCATGTCAATCACTGCCGCTCTCCGTTAGCATCGCGATCGTTTGCAATCTTCACCATACCGTCCTGTAATCCTTATTGGAGATCTTCGGAGGATACTGGCACGAAGATTTCATGCAAGCACAAGCAATGGGCCTCAAAAAAGTTAAAATCCGTTATAGACGTGGAAACAGCCCAGGTCGATTTGAGGAAAATTTGTTGGTAAAAGTCCAATAAGCTCGATAGAGGACCCTATGGCCTGGTTAGTCAAAAGATCCTGAATGTGTTTTCTTTTTTTCTTTGAAAAAACCTTGTCTTGTTTCTGTTGAAGGATTCCTTATCTTAAATTGACATTAAATAAGTTCGTTTTGACATCCAAATCAAGATTCCATAACAATTCAAGTAACAGCTACTCAGCTAAGATTTTTTTCATGCGAAGATAGCTTGCTTGTAGTAATTTGGTAGCTGAATACATACAACCTTTGGCTATTGGCATATTACAACGGAGGCAGCGATCTTTTGTTTATATATTTCTGCAGCCAGAAGTGTGAGAATTTCCAAATATCTAAGCGTGGAAGTCAGTTTTGGGGCAATCTAGACCGCCTGAATTCGTCCATTCATGGCCGTGTATATAGTTGAATATGACAAAATCGTAAGGCGTATCATTCCGCACTTTACACCCAATTTCCGTTTGTTTTTTGGAGCATGATTTTTCGGAAATTTGCCGAAAAAATCTGGCTTGTTTGCTTTCTTCAAACTCTTTAATCTACTTTTTCGAATGGTATCAACATTTACAAACAAATCACTACTTATATCTTAAATTCCGCCTCGCAAGGCACTGAAAAGGCAAGACTCACGAGCTCTTTACTCAAGAGATATAACTTTACGTTATTGCTCTGAGGTGTTGAGCAGTCGCATGTTCGTTTCATTGCGTGTCTTTGATCTGGCGCACTGTTCATGAATAGTGCATCAATAAATATAATAAATCAATCAATTAATTCTCGATTCTACAAACCGAAATTATTTTTTAGCCAACCTAACAGTAATTAAATAGTGGAATAGACATACTTGAACACCAAGTGGATCGAAATAGTGATTGTTTTATTGTCATTTTATACAATATCATGTGTAGATCGCAGAGTTACCGACAGGGGAGTTCCACCTCTTCTCTAATTCCGCAAGTTCTAATTATGAAACGCACTGTAGAAATATTGTTGTTATTTTCGCTGTTTCTATTTTTTTGCGGAAGAAAAACTTAACTTTCAAGTCTTTTCTATTGCAGTGTAAACAGCAATTGCGGCAAACAAGCTTGCTGTCAACAACCCCGTTTAATAAATTACAGATGCTTCACGAGTGATATCAACGCGTAAGAATTGCCTCAGTTAACGTTCACTATGGAAACGTTGAAAAATTACCAATCAGATTGTTTTTTCATACTGGCACCCGAATGCAATTAATTGAAGCAAATTTTGCTTTGCAAGTGCGCAGTATTGAATCATATTGATATTGCGCAGTACCTTCACTCACACAAAAGGCGAACCAAATAGGTTTTTAACCTAATTCTTTGACTTCCTCAAATCCCTCTACCTAAATAAGCAAAGGTTTCCATATGTTATGTTTGCAACCAAAATAAGTAGCAAATCTGAGCTCCTCTTACAAAGCTGCTCTTTAGGCTCAGCTCAGAGTTGCCCCTGTGCCGAGCATGGGACAGGCGCGACGCCGCAACGGCGCATGCTTAGCGGGACAGAGCACATTCTGTCGCATCTGCGTCAGCTTACAGAAGTACTCAAGTCAGGGCTTGGCATAAGTGGCTTATAAGCAAGCAGGATATCGTTTTTGGGACAAGAAGCATAGGGGGTTTCGTTTTTGTGGCCGAAAAGACAGAAAATTTGCGACGATTTTTTTAGTCGGAGTTTCGTTTTTTGGGGTTTTTTGGAGATTTTGGTCCAGGGTCAAAGGGTACTTCGTAAAAATTCGGAAAAGTCAAAGGGGACTTCGTTTTTTGCATTTTCATCTAGCCACCTCGTGCCGAGCCTTGACTCATGTGAAATCGGATTGTTTGAACGCTTGCTTGCTTATATAACTTCTAAAAAATGAATTGTCAGTAAGCACTGTCGAAAAAATGTTTTAACAACAAAAAAAGCTCTGATTTGAAGGTTGACTAGCGATAGCTGCTTGGGCTAGGATACTGCCAAATCTCACCACTAGTAGTTGTTTATACGTCTAATAATACGTTGCGTAAAGAAGAGCAAAGGTTGATTTCGACTACTATAAAAGAAAACAATGATTTTTGAATTTTACAAATGAGGTCATGTTTTGCTTGATCTTTGACCCATAAGAGCTAGAATTCCAAGCGTATGTAATCGGTCGGAAGAGCTGTTCCAAATCACTATTACGATTGTGGACTCTAAAAATAGTATGCACATCAGGTCAAAAACTCCTTTTCACTGTCAAACACTGCTTCTATAGATCTGGTCCCCGGATTGACAACTCATGAAGAACTTCTGACATAAACACAGATAACAATGCATGATGTGATTTAGATAGATTAGATCAGACTAGATTTCTGCAGAAAATGCATACTTTTTTCTTTCTTCCAAAGGCAGTGTCCAGGCTAAATCTACCCCCCCCCCCCCGATTATTGCTGATTTTGAATGTAGGCCCCGCGAAAGGGGCATCTGCTTTGGACCGATCCTCTGTTGCTGTCTCTGAATGGAGATATAGCGCCTGGAACAGCCAAAGGGGTATCAGACCACGCCCACACATATACTGAAAGCCGCTCTCCCTCAGGCTCCCGCTAGAGTGCCGAAGCCATGCCAGCGCTACGCCAGCGCCGAGCTAGCGTTTCGATCGATACACGTGTATTTCGTTGGGGCGGGGCTATCTCGGCCAGGACCCCGCCCCAGCGAAATACACCTGTATCGATCGAAACGCTAGCTCGGCGCTGGCGTAGCGCTGGCATGGCCTCGGCACTCTGGCGGGAGCCTCAAGACAGGGTCCTCAGGAATCGGGTTTTTTGGGGTTTTGGACTATTTCAACTTCATAACCGTAATCAGGGCCACAAAAAAGCCCCATAATGGCAGAAAATGGGAGGCAAAATTTTGAATGGACGCTGCCCTTCAGGTTCCAGCATATGACAAACAAATTTTTACGATATAACTTTTTGTTGTTTAATTCTGCTATAACAAAGAGTGTAGTACAACAAAAAGAATTCAAAGCGTCACCCCTGCAGATCTAAATTACTCATACGTGCTCATTCTGCATTTTTAAAAAAGATCCCCTCGCTCAAGTGATGATTGCATGCGGTGTCCTGGCGTCATGTGCCCATCTAGGATGAGCACAGACGCGCACACGGGCAAGTCCGGACGAAACCCTGCAGTAATTACAATAACATGCACAAAGGCTATTGCAGGACGAAGGCGCAGAAGCAGTATTGATTAAGCGGGCGCGGCGGCGTGCGCATGTCTTTGTTGTAGACCCTGCGCCTTATGCGCTCTGCGTCTAATAAGTCGGCATTCGCCCAACGGTACTGCACCTTCGTTATGCAGTAGCATATACCTTTTCATCGATATCATCTCGCATTGTCTGATATCTAGAGCTCTGCGATAACGTTTTGCCTTACCTATTACATTTTGCTTGTCTTTAGCATACATGAATACCCAGAAAATACGTTTGTGTGATTGTTATCGAATTCGCACATTAAAAATATGCAAATTATATAATAACTTTTCCACAATCATAAAAATTCCTATAAAACTTCCGTCAATTGTGGGATACAATGGTTAATGGTTGCTGCTCTACATATACCCTAAGCTTTCAAAATTTTGCGCTCACAAATGAAACTGCTACTTTCCGCCTCGCTCCTACTGGGTTTCGCTTTTTATGTGAGTTCACTTTTTCAGCGATGAAACGAAAAATATGAGTTCATAGGTGGAAGGAGAAATTATCGAACATAGACGATTTAAACGTGGACAGCAGAGGTATGACGCCAGCGACGTAAGTGTTCCTGCGCAAGTACAAGCAACTGTCGACGTGGAGCCAAGCGAGACTGTGATCAAGAAAACAACATACCGTACATACCAAATGCAGCCAACTGTGGTGAAGAAATACATTAGCTATGGTGGTGTAAGTTTTTATTTTCAACTTTAAGATGTCGTACGGCACTAATTTCTTCAGCACGAAAAGACACTGTTCCGCTGAGAAAGTATAATGAATGGCAGTCGGTCAAATACACCGGCTTACAATTTACTGCGAAAAATCATTCTCAAACCATTGAAATGAGGATCAGGATTAATTTTTTGACTTAGTTTGCAGATTCTTTTTATTTGAAGAGGATAGCTGTCCAATGAAAAGGACAAATTTACTCAATAATCAAGGCAATGATATGCGTATGCGTGGCTTAGCAAATCCAGCTTTTCCTATATATGAGGAGATAGCCATCAAAAGTGTCTGAAAGTAGTTCCTTTTTGAAACCTTATTATCACCCATATCTGTTACGCGTTTGAATTTTCTTCTAGCCGCCAAAAGTCTATCACAAACTACATGAATTCCTTACAAGGGAAGGATAGTTGGATGCCGCGGCCATTCCGATGATTTCTATATCAAAAAATGCGCCTTCGAATGCAGATTCTGAATCTGTGCTCGAAATCTGCGAAACGATCTTTTGAAGAAAGTTATGAGCTTTTTTCCTTGAAAATTTAGCCTACTTTTGGATAGTAAAAATCACCAGATTTGATCTAGCCTACCGTTTGGTGCTAGTGAAGAAAATTTTAGTCATAGTAATATTTATTTAGACTATCTGGATCATACTCAGCATTTAGAAAGGAGAGAAAATTTTTTTATTGATGATTTTGACCCTCCGCAGGAACGCAATTTTTTTAATGAAAAAAATCATAACTCCATTCAGATTATCGTTTCGCAGATATGAAAGACAGTCTACGAACCAGCATTCAAAAGCGCATTTTTTGGTATACAAATCATTATGAATGGCTACGGCATCCAAGTATCCTTCCCCTGTTAGATAAGGAGCTCCTTTCGTTTTTTACGCCTCCTATAAAAAACCTTACTACTCTAGGTAAAGGTTTGAAAAAAAATGAAATTTATGCGTTGTATTGGCTTTTAGGGGGACACATTAGTGACAGGTCGTAAAGTGATATGACCAAAAATTGATTTGCGTGCAAAATCATGGAGAGTTCCGAGACTGCCTAGAAGCCTCTTCACAAAAGCCCATGGTCGTCTACCAAGATAAACATCCTAAACGTGTAGAAAAGGCTCAATAGATAAGTGCAAATCATTTTGCGTAACAATTCATCTTAATTTGATCTTGATCAACGTCTGTTTTCAATTACAGTGGCTGCGTAGAGGAACGAACGCAGCCAGTGGGCGTCACATGCGCAGATTACTAGTCCTAACGCGATATGTCTCGGTACGTGCAATGGAATAAACTGGGACAGCGCGCTGAGTTCGTTCCTCTACCTCAGCGTGCTCGGCGAGGCTTACCATAAGAATATTTTAGCTTACTTTAAATGCCAATATCAATCAGATTGAGACAAGTAATCAAGCAGATTAGTTTAAAATCGACTTTCAAGTTTTTTCTTTGAACATGAATAGTGTTGCTTGAAGTCTGGAAAATAATGTCGCATGGCATCCTACCGCGACAGAGTGACGAATACAGCGAATGGGTATCATATAGAGCAAAGGAAGCTCTAAAAGATAATTTACAATCTCCGCGGAAATCTTGCTCTAACTGAAGTTCGAATCCAAAACATAAAAAATTTCAGATGCCCGAAAAAATCGTATCTCTGTCCAAAGACGTCTTAGGGACTCAATCTGCACAGGCATGTATGTACTCTCAACATTAGACATTCACCTGTACAGTTTGTGCTATTTTTCCATGGCTACAGTACAACAAACAAAATTAGGTCAAAAGTGCGAGTATGTCGCGTTTTTCGGGGATTTTTTTGCAAGCAATTTGGTTTTTCTCGAGAAGAGCTTGTCTAAAGTTGAAAATTCATGTGTAGACTCCCAAAGCTTCATACTAAAGAATCACTTTTGAGAGAAGCTCAGGATTGCTTTAACAAAAATATGCCGAATTTCGTTTTCTTAATTTCCTGCCAGGGAAAAACCACGAATATGTGCGTACGGCTATCTGGTATGGTGAATTCATACATGAGCAAATTAGGGGTTCCCAGACTTTTCCGAACGAAGATACGATTTTTCGTTTTTTTAAGATCTTTAGTGCCTTATGAAATTTGACTTCAATTCACGCAGATCAAACCTGGCTCGAAGGTCCGAGCTTCGTTTTGTGGTGCTAGCTTTGCTCTATCGGCTGGTACGCCATTTACTTTACTGCTCAACCTGCCACGATATTGCATGATAAAACACGATGCAACATTGTTTTCCGGACAGCCTAATATATCGAGAAAAATAGTGCATCAGCAAACTACTTTAGTCTTACCCAAAAACATAGACTAAGTTGAAGAATAGTCGGTGGCTTCCCACGAGCCCTCACATCATGTTCTAATACTGTAGACAAATGGAACATATCTACATAAATACATGTCTACAAGACACAGGATACTTTCCTCTCCTTAAAAATTAAGTAAGCGAAAAGTGATGATGTGACTTTCCAGGTATATGGCAAAACATACACTAGTATATACACATGTTTGCACCTACAAGGGCTTTTAGTATACAGATGCAGACGGCGAAAAGCCAAGATTTGTGTTTGCCAAGCTTCGGTTATGTACTCCTTTCTTTTAGTGGGGGGTGAAAATGCTTCAGCAAGCCGATTTAGGCTTGTTTCTTGTATCTACATTATCCAGGAAAACCACAAGTTAAGTGGATGTACGGGGCTTATCAATTGATTCGTCGGGTGCACCAGCATCTCCACTCCCGCGCGATTGAAGGTCCGCTGTTCTCACGCTCGCCCTAAGAAAATGCTCAGAGAGCATGTCCCGCGGAAGATACGCAGAGTTCAGCGCGGGAATGGAGATACTAGTGCACCCGACACTTCAATTGATTAGCCCTGTATGATAGTCATTCTGGAAAGCTTGCTGTGTAGCTCTGTGAGTTAACAAATTAGCCGGCATAGGCCTCGAGCAGAATTCACGCGATATGATCGTCGCGATTCAATCGCGACAAGACAACTGTTACGAGTTCATTGCATGCCGACCAGGTTGCATTTCGATTGTGATACTTTTCCAGCCCGAAACTTTTGAATGTAAGATGGAAATGAATGGAAATCGCGGCGATTAAATTGCGACGATTAAATCGCGTGAACTCTGTCCGAGCCCATAGTTACAATGCAATACAGGAGAGGCAAGCAACCATCCTAAATCTAGAAAATTGTGAGATTGGCAAATGTTATACAAAGAGTGTGCCTTCACCATGGGACTGCGACCAAATGTTGCTAAACTTCTGGAAGTTCTAATTAACAGGCTCGTGTCTCAATTTATGAAATGTTTCGCAATCATCAAAAACCAATCTTTTAATACCATAGAAAGTTGGACTACAAAGATTGCAGCATGGTGACGGGACTGATGTAGTAATGCCGCATTTCGTTTTCACATAAGATAAGTTATCTAGGAAAACAAACAGAAGAAAACATTCCTGTTGCGCTAGATACAGGTAATGCATTTTGATGGAGATTTTTGATGAAAAGTTATGCATCGATAGCTTACACATGCGGGAAGAGGAGAGAAAAGGTTGAGAAAGAGGTTCTCATTTTTTACGTGCTGCACGTAAGCCGCAGAACGTTTTAACTATGACATATTCTGACTTACCAGGGGTTAGCTTTAAAAAGTACTCATTTTTGAAGTGTCAAATCTTCTCTAGTCGAAAAATCCTCGTTAGCTTTCACAATTTAAGCAAAAAATCTGCGCTTCTTCTTATGTATAAAACTAAATGTCTGTTGTCTGTCTGTCTGTGTGTACGTATGTTCCGAATAGAAAATTCCATTTCTGAACCGATCCGGACCAAACTTGGCACACATGCACTTCGGGCCCCGGCGGGTGTCATAGGCTACTTTTCGTCATCGATCCATACCGATTTTATCGATTTTTTGCAAAATTTGAGCTACGGGGCTGGGAGTTGGCATAGGGAGGGGGGGGGGGGGGGTAATCGAGCATGCTGATTACGAATATAATAATGACAGGGCCGGGCGGAGTCGGGTAAGTCAACTAGTTAGAAAATAAAACTCTGCAACCACTGCTAAAACAATAAATTCTAGGAATGATGACTACTCTGACTATTGATGTCCCACTGATAAGTTGTTTCGAAAGTTTTATCCCATTTTTGGATGCCTTTAACGCAGCAATTTCTTGGAGTTGTGGACTTATTGCAGTACAATGAAAAACATCTAAATGGCCTTTTCCTGCTCTTTTCAATGCTCGTGGATACGGTGGGTACAGTATCTCCACTCATGAACAATCGCGCTCTAGAGGGCGCTTACGCGGTCCGCCCTCAACGCTTTTCACGTTCGGAAAAGGTGCAAAGCACAGTCTTGGACTTAGGTCATCCAGGGGGACCGAGAATGATGAATATCCCAAAGTTGTCATTCTGCCGAGCCGCTGTCTTGAAGTTGCAAAGATGCAGTCATGCTCATGAGAAAGTCTCTATGAAGAAAATTTTTGCATTGTTTGTAAAATCACCTATAACTTTACACTGAGTGAAATTATGATGAGTTCACATAGAAGATGTCTTGTTTTTCAAGTACGTCTTCAAAAATTGAAAACAAACTCAGTTGTTCTAAAAACGACAATCCTAAGTGCTACGTCGGTTTAGAAGTTCTGTCAGTTCTTTGGAATGTATAAACTAACATTTCAAGCTGCATCGATGCAAAATTTCTTCCCTTTTCCAGCTGCTATACTCGTAGTGTGATTTGTTGAGAGAATGCTGAAATTACAGCACTTCGTTTTCACCATGCTTCACTTTCACTAATTTCCAAAACTTTTATCTAAGATTTTCGAAGAAGGTCTGAATGCCAACAGATAGGACAAACCTTTTGCCAACAGAAGCCATTTTTGTAGCTGTATGGCTTGCCTTTGAGAATTTCTAGAGTATATTTTTTAATGTGACAAAACTTTATAGTCGGCCCATTTCAACTCCTCTAGAACTTGAAATGTTGAAAACAGTTCAGGTACCATTCGATGAGACTTTTGCTCCTTTTTGTTATTGTCTTCTTCTAGCAAGACACGCGAAATTTATCGGAAATATTGTAGTATTCCTTAATTTCACAAGCGCGCACCACTGCATCCCAAGGCTTAAAATCTTCATATTCTGAAGCGAAAATTATTCATTTGATTTGTAAGGTTAGTAATAGTAATATTCGAAGTTTGAAACTCCTGTATTCTTGGGTTTTTGCAGTGATATTGGTGATAATAGGTAGCCGATTTATCCAAAACTCAAAACTTCTGGAAGATTATTCAGCAAAATTCTAGTATGAGTAGCAAAAAAAAAGAAGAAAAATTGCTCAAGTTGGCAAAAGATTAGCCCCGCTGTTGAAGCACCCCCAAAAGTCTGAAAGAAATTTTGAAAAAATTGGACGTGATGAAAACAAAGGCTTGTAATTTCTAGCGACTAACTCAGCACTCTCTCCTAATCGCACCGCTGTAGCAGCTGAAAAATGGAAGAAAATGTGCATTGGATACATCTTGAAATGTTCGTTCATTTTGCCGGTGAATCAAAATGAAAACGTGCAAAACTCAACCTCGCGAATACATCGACATGCGATGTATCCAGTATCGCAAATATTAGAGTAGAATGAGAGTAAGAAGGAACCATTAGCAAATCAGCTTTTTTTCGTTCGCAACAGCAAGAAAAGGTCGAAGAAAGTCGCCATATTCGCGAGGGTAGACAAAATCTCAAATAAGGGCTTTTTTCGATTCGCTCATAAGATTTTCTATGATGCAAAGCAACTTTAATTCTTTTCAAAATGGTCTGGAAGTATAGGTTATTCATTGACGGCAGTCAAATATGTAAGCCTTTCTTATGTGAGAGCAGTATGTTAAAATAAACGTTGTTAAAGGAAATCCTGCAAATTTTTCCAGTTCCCTTTTTTCTCTCATGCCTTTATGAAATATTGTAAATATGACAGCCATAATCTTACTTGATCCAGCAAAATTTAGTCTGTTCAAAAATTTATTCTTTTTATTCAAGGTGTCATCAAAAAGAATTTTCAGGTGAAATTTGCAATCGCATGGAGAACCTAGTAACTTAGATTCAAAAATGAAACTGTCTTTCGCATTTTCAACCGTAATAGGTATTGAAGTCCACTCTTGACAGGGCTCCGTGGATGGAGGTACCCTTGACTTGAGCAATCTCGGTATAAGTACGGGCACTGGAAATCTCGGCGGGACCTTCAAAGTGATAGGCGATCCGACAGTACGTGTGATACAAGGCAGTCCGACGGTATATCGCAGTCCGACAGTACATCGTCATTACAGAACAAAGGTAGGTAATGCATATCTATAACAAAGAAGATGTTTCCATGATATTCAGGTGAGACGGGGCGATTTTGGGAGACGAGGCTCAATGGTGATTAATTACGTAAGTTACTTTTATGTCTATTTTGCAAGCTAAAGACATTAACAGAAGACTACCTCAAATGAAATCCTCAAAAGCATACATTCGCACGTTCCAATGCCACTGTTGCCACTTCTTCATCAATTCTGGAAAATTTACGACAAATTTTCAGTGAAAGGAAAGGCGAAAAAAGTCACACACCATCGAATTTGATTCAGATACAGTTGCATGAAACATGGATAAAACTTTGAATTGCAGTGACTACAGAGAATGCACAAAAAACAAAGCTTATATTACTGTGGAGCTGACAATGAAACAGAAATTTGAACACTAGAAGATACCCTCTGTATCAGTGGATGTGAGGGCTCGTGCGGTTCGGTCCCGCACGCTCACCTCTCTAAGCTTGTCCCTCTTACGGGAACATGTTCCTTGATCATTTTCTCTTGCTAAATTGGTGATTGGATCACGGCCTTTCCCACGCTCGTAATAGGATGATTAGCGAACATGTTCGCAAAAGAGGTGCAGGCCTAGAAGAAACGGTCGTGCGAAACCTAGCCGCACGAGCCCCTATCACCTTGATACAAAGGGTAGTGATAACAACATCGCATAAGTACAACAGGTCGAAAAAGTTTGCCTCAATCATGAAACATCTTCTCATTTCGAGAATTCATGCTTCGTGTCCTTCTCGCACACTTGCATTATGCAGCACCATGTCCTATTTCTCTAATACTTGTATGAGAGATAAGCTCCTGAATGTTGCTTTCGAGATAGTTTTCGGACGGTCTTACCTATTCAAACTTTAGGCAATCTGACAGAAGAAACGATTACAATCTTTTGGCATGCACACTTTTGAGTCATGTCAAAACAGTTCACTTAGATACATAGATGACCTGTTTTAGATTGCGTGTAGGTTCCACCACAGGAGTGACATCCGTGTTTTTTTTTTGTGTCACCTGACTTCTCTCTACACGGATCCAAACACGAAAGCATATAATCGTTGTCTGTGTCGTGTTAACCCGAATGTTATAGCAGCAGAGCATCATACAGTGGAGAAATTGGGAGATCACTTAGCAATTGCCTAAAGGAACAATTAGCACACAAAAAGAGCCAGAGTTGGTTCTACCTCACGGAAGGCACAGAAGCGAAGTGCAAGAAATGAACGCATCTTAAACGTAGAATCTTGGTATAAAAAAGGTGATCTCCGCTAGGAAAAAAATGAATGCATTTTATGATATGGATAAGCAAAGAGCTAGACTTGATACACAGGAACTCTATCACTAACTCCTAATTCCCTCACTTCGAAATCCTTATGCCAGCTATAGCCATTCATGCGCATCTTCCTGCCAAAATTCGTAGTTTCAATGATGCATAAGATCATTTTGCTCAGACGAGCAGCTGGAAGTACACAGCTTACTTTGGAGTTTTTTTTTTGAAAAAAAAGCAGGGCGGTTTTTGAAAAAAAAGCAGGGCATGTACAGACTGCGAGGAAAGACAAGGTATAATCAGAAGATCGTGACTAAAAAAATTCAAAGTTTTGCTCTAAAAATTTCGAAAATTACAAGTCTAGACCACAAAACTTTGGATGTAGGAGATATTCGAAAAAAAGTCCAGTCATCTTGAGTAAAAGAACTTTGGTTGGTTTCTTGAGCAGTATGCATCAAAGTTCATCTTAGGGTGGAGAGCAAAGCTTAGAAGAAAACCTTATATTAGGTCGTCTCAAAAGTATTTTCGTTTTTTTCTCAAACGGCTGCCGCATTTTGCAGAACAAAGATTCACGAAAAACTTGGTAGCTTTCTTATTCTTTTCAAAAGGTTATGTTTCTACTGCAGTGAGCTCCTAAAAATCACTCATGCATTTGTGTTGCACTATTTTCCTGAATTTGGTACAGTTTTTTCAGAAAGTCTTGGTAACCTATGGACAGAACAAATCCTAGAGTTTACAAAACACTTTATTTCCCTTCCACAGCTTGTAAGACTTTTCGAAATCTTTCTTTGCTGCTATCAATTCCACATTATAACTATGGCAAAAACCACCTCAAACCATATAATTTATGTTTTCGAACACATCTTAAGCTGTACCCGGAAATTTGAGAATTCTTAACATGATTCCTAAAATGGTCATTTGCTTTGTTAATCATTCTTTAATCATGATCACTTAGGCCCCGGGCAGACTTCACGCGATTTGATCGTCGCGACTGAATCGCGACGAGACAACTGTTACAACATCATTCCATGCCGATCAACTTGCATTCGGTTGTGATACTTTTCCAGACCGACATTTTGAATGTGAAATGAAAATGAATGGAAATCTTGGCGATTAGATCGCGACGATTAAGTCGCGTGAAGTCTGACCGAGGCCTTAGGGAACTTACAAAATTAAAAAAAAAAAGGTGTCGCCAAAGGTGTTTTTTGTCGCACTTTCATAAAGCAAAGGTTGGCTTAGCGGTAGGTCGGTCTGAGTGCCACGCGGGATGGTACCTCAAACTTGGGTAATTAAACCTTTATCTTTGAAACAGCTATAACAATAACAACGCTATAACAATAACAACGAAACGATTGTGTGAGTAATGGACTTCTTAAATAACATTTAAATACAAACACAACAGGTGAGATCACTTGTTATCAAAACTTGTACTTGTCTCGTTCCTATCCGCGATCTGTTCCTCGGCGGCGGCGCCTCCTTATATAGCCCGCGGAGTCCATAGTCCGCGGTTTGTTCTACTTGCCCTCCTGCGATCTGAAAGTCGCCTTTGGCGACACTCGGGCCTCGGCGTTGGTTTCCTTCATATTGACAATCTCTCTTCTGAGCCCGATATACTGCTGCTTCAGCTCGTTAATCCATTGCCTGAGCGTTTCCTTCTTATCTGGCACTGTGCACAGGGCTTTGTGGTGGCCCGAATCGCGAGGCATGAGCCTTGCGGCCTTAGTGCACCTGATCCTCTCGCAGTAAAAACACGGCCTTCTTCGGAACTGGCATCGTCCTGGTGGGCAGGATCCGAGGCAGCGTGGGCATAAGTTCTCGCGCCTGACTTGTTCGTAGCGGTCATTGCCGGCTCTTACGTATGGACAGGAATCGGAGTAGTGGTTGTCACGCGCTTTACAGAACGCACAAAAGAGAAGTACGTGGGTTCCGCGCGGTACCTCGCCGTACATTCGGTAGGGGAAGACTCTCATAGCTTGTTCCAGCTGATCGATTTGTTCCAAAAGAGCCCAGTCTTCTTGTTTTTCTTTGATTCGTTCCTCCTTCTCATCTTCCTTTCTTGGCGGACATTCGTTCTCCTGGCTAGATTCAGTTTCGTGTATGAGATGTCCCAAATACTGGTCATCGTCCATAGGTTCGTCGTTTGCGCTGTCTTCATCCAGCAAGACGAGTGAGTCGTCCTGTTCACAAGATACGTCCATCTCGTCGTCTTCGTCTTCTTCTCCAACTGCAGCCTGCTCGACATCGTCTGCTTCGGGGAATTCTGTTTGCGCTGCAGCGCTAGAAAGATCGGGGCGAGCTTGACATCTGAAACTAGTGCTGCGATTGGAACTGCGTTCCTCATGAGTTAGACTGGCGATTTTACTTTTCAGAAGGAAAATCTCCTGGTCACGCTGGGCCAACTTGTCTTGAAGGATCCGCATTATCCTCTTGTTCACTTCCTCTTTCCTATTCGCTGTGGAGCGAAGGTTGCCCTCCGCGATTTGGCGTCGCCTTTCAATCCTTCTAATGAGCTTTTCTATTCCTTCCATTTGTGCGCTCATCTCTCGGAAGTCGCAGTAGTAATCACTTTCTTCTTGGCCTTTCTCGTGGCTAAGGGCGTAGCATTTGTTGAGCAGCGAAAACCGCGTGCACAACGCCAGGTAACGCTCCCTGCTCACTTTTGCCGCGAGGTGTGGTCTACTGGCAACAATCAGCTGCTCGCGTGGATCCCCTTCGAAGACTTGTTCGTCCTTGAGTTGTTCGTAGTCTTCTCTAATCGCCACTGCTGTAGCTATCTGTCGCGAGAGAGCTTCTTTTGTCCGCTTCATGTGCTCCTCCAATTCGGTTTTCGAGTGACTGTCCGAGATGATAGCTAGGCGTCGAACATCGTCATCCATTCTTCCAAAAGACATGCTGAAATTAGATAGTATGAATTTACTATGTATGGTATAGATAAAATTCCAACTTGTTTCGCTGCACTTGTTTCTAGTATGTGCTTTTTCAATCACTTGTGTGAGTGTGTACCTGTTGGGGCACGAAGTTGTTGGGAATGTGTTTCGTGAAAGCCATGCTCCCCGTGTTTGGACCCATATATATTCAAATGTGTTATGAGCGTAAAATGACGTGCGCACATGCGTGACTTTGACAAAAGTAGAGGTAGTTCTATAATTGTGGTGGAGGCTTTCGACAAGAGTACTTGTTGCGAGAGGCTAGACATACATAGAATGGTTGCGCATAGGGTGATAAGTGGAGAAAGCCGAAGATTTGAAGTGCTACTTTCTCTGCTACGTTGTTCTCTTTCTCGAGGCCTCAAGTTGTACTTGCAATTTGATGGTTCTTTTTGAGTTTGCTCTCTTTTTTGCTTACTCTCCTCTGCAGTTCTGTCCTCTAACTCTAGAGGTACCAAGAGATTTACAGGTCTGCGTATCTGTTTTTTGGATGGTAGGATCACAACGGCTTCTCTTTCTTGTCCGTCTCTGCTCTTCAATAACTCTATAATGCGTCCGATTCTCCAGGAATGCCTTGGTTGTACGGGGTCTGTGATCAAGACGCAGTCATCTTTTCGCGGACGCGAAATGGACTTGTTATTACCAACTTGTAACTTGTGTTTTTCTCGAAGTGCCGTCAGATACTGTGTCTGCCAAAGGTTCCAAAACTTGTTTGTGGACTTGTAGGAACTTTCTAGCGCTTGGATTGTCTGCGATTTTGTGCGAAGGGGCAGGTTGTTCTTCGGATGAGAGATAAGGTGGATCCTCGTCGTGAAGAGTGACCATGTCAAATGGGTAGTCCAGTATAATCTTATTTTGTACGAAGTCGATGGGCCTTATGATCGTCTCGTTGCACGAGTCTGAACTCATGTACACCAGCGGCCTTGTGTTCAGTAAGGCTTCGATCTCGACCAGCGTTGTTGACATCTCTTCAAATGTGGGAGTCGAGTTTTTCAGAGTCTTGTAGAGAGAATGCTTGACTGTTTTTATCAGTCTTTCGTAAAATCCTCCTTGCCACGGTGCGAAGGGTGTAATGTGTTTCCATTCAATTTCGTGATTGCTCATTT